GTTAAGGTTGTCCCTATGTGGGATGCAATTTTTCGTAATGAATGTTCTACATACATTTATGTTCTGTAAATATAACTCTTTTGTGTATCATTCATTGTGTAACTTTGGAAAATGTAAATGGATTGTTAATCACAATAAAAGCTGGTGGGGGAGGGGGGTTGAAGCCCCACACTGGCTTTTGCCGGGACCCTAAATATAGCCGAGCCATAAATATGGCCGTAGCTGCTGAAAGGGGTTTCTGGGACCTCTCCACGGGTGATCCTCATCCGCATGGTGGCACTTTGTGTCACCTGGTGTCTATGGCTGGGGTGGGTGATGTCTTGGTGGGGTACATCAAGCAAACAAGCAAGAAATATCAACAACCTTGAACGACACCCAAATGTGTGGTTTTTCAATGAAGGGAAGTAGCTCCCTCGAGCTAAACCCCTTATGTTCTGAATAAGTTTATGAGTGCGGATGTCCAAGAAAGATCACACACGGTACATGGAAATATAAACTGTTCATTCGCTGGTTACTAGGCGAAAGAAGCAGAGCTTACATGACACATGGATGAAAGTATAAGTAGTCCTTTGCACAAGATTATCAATATGAATTCCTATTGATGTAACACTGTCATTATTTAGTCAACAAATCATCCTAATCTTTTTCTTTGTTAATCGGCTGTATTCTCCGGCAGAAAGTCCTGGTTGTTCGTCCATTTTGACTTTGGCCTTGTGTCAGGACCTGAGTCTTGCGTGTACATCCGTTTAACTGGCCTATTTATGTGCAGTTGGTTGTTCCTTGCCGCTCAGGCATATGCACTCTGACTTCGAAGGAAGTCTCCAGTCAGTCTACTCTTACGACATGCTTACTGGGAAGGCAGTGGGTCTATTATTACCCTCCACAATTAGGCTCCGGAACCCACATAGAGAAAATCATCCTAATAAGTGCTTGGATCTCATCCTCTGTGTGCTGTGTTATGTTATCACAGTCATCGTCTCTGCACATTGGCATCGCTTGTGTACTGAGTCATCTGATGCGTCAGTCATCCTTAGAATACCCCTATACATAAGAACTCAGCGGATTGTGCTAATAAAACCTCATTTTGGTTCAACGGACAAGAGGGCGATAACAAGCAGGCTCTGTGGGGAGCTTCGAGCAAGGCAGGGCACTTAAGACGCCTTGGTCATCCACGGCACCTGGTTCCATTTCGGTCATCTCAACATTGTCCTGCCATTGGATCAAGATGGACACAAGCGAGAGAGTGAGGTCGACGAATTGCGCAACTCTTCATCGCGTAAATTTAAGTCCTTGCTCAAGTCACTTTCGTCAAGTTGTCATCAAATTGTCGAAATAAAGACAGTTTCATATAGCTTGTCGCAGAAAGCTGCTCAAAATCAAATAGGAAGATAAGACCCCAGATACTGTGGTTCTTGATAGGTCAAACCTGCCTAGCATCCATACAATGCTGTAAAATTATCAGCTGCATTCGGCTGGTCACCTGGCTCCCATGCAGGATTATCGCCTCCCAAAGAGAGTATTTTATGGGGAGCTCCAGCATGGGAAGAGGTCACCGGGAGGACCCTAAAAAAAGCACTATACAGACACTCTAAGGGCTGCTCTCAATTCTGTTGGCATCAACAAAGCGAGGTGGGTGGGGGGAGGGCGGCTGCTGTGCAAGACCGCTTTGGGTGGCGTACATTCATCAGGTATTGTGCATCAGCCTGCCAGGCAGCAGAGATTGCACTGGCAAAGAAATAGGGGCAGACTAGAAAGAACCGTATCGCTAATCCAACACTAGGGTGGCTTCCATGTGTTGTCCTCACTGCTCAAGAATTTTCCTGGCTCATTTTGGACTAATCAGACACTATCTACTACTTTGGACGAAAGTGGTCTTCATCATTCGTGATGGACGGACAACACCTCTAGTGATGTATAACTAGAAGTCTCCAGTTAGCACCAATTTTTTAACATGAACTTTCTTTTTTCGGTTTTTAGAATTCATGTTAACGAGTTTTTACTGTATTTACAACTGTTAGCGGGGTGATCTTGAGCTCTTTTCCAGGGACGCTATTGGCATTAGTACGTTACTATTGTTCCCAGGCATGAAATCAATGTCAAATTCTCTCAGCGTGCCACTGCAGGCGAAGAAGATTAGTTAGAAATTGTTAAGTTTAGCCACCTTAAGATTTATCATCATCAAGTGTCTTGCCATCTGGCATGGGTGATCCACGACCGGCTCCATGAGCGTGTCCCTGAGGTGCCGCGGCAATATTCAAGAAAAGTCGGCTACAAATTGTGAACTTATTAAAGAAAGCATGTAGAGACTTAAAAGTTAAAATTTAAGTTGTCTTCCCTCGCCGCTGTCGACAATAATTGATTTCTTGTTACCGCTGCGTTAACGCACCGTTAGCCCGACTCGGTGACGTCAGCAGCACAAGCTGTCAGCTGGAGCCGGTCGTGGGTGATCATTCCTCTCTCCACAAGCTACCATCTGTAACAGCAACTATTAGTTAGTGTGTTGACACCCCTCTATGCCCACAGCAACTATTAGCTCGTGTGTTGACACCCCTCTATGCCCACAGCAACTATTAGTTCGTGTGTTGACACCCCTCTATGCCCACAGCAACTATTAGTTCGTGTGTTGACACCCCTCTATGCCCACAGCAACTATTAGTTCGTGTGTTGACACCCCTCTATGCCCACAGCAACTATTAGTTCGTGTGTTGACACCCCTCTATGCCCACAGCAACTATTAGTTCGTGTGTTGACACCCCTCTATGCCCACAGCAACTATTAGTTCGTGTGTTGACACCCCCTCTATGCCCACAGCAACTATTAGTTCGTGTGTTGACACCCCCTCTATGCCCACAGCAACTATTAGTTCGTGTGTTGACACCCCTCTATGCCCACAGCAACTATTAGTTCGTGTGTTGACACCCCTCCAAGCAATACAAAAGTGCTGTCAAGAATCATCTAACGTTGTCTTTCTCTGTCTCTTTCTCCACAGATCTTTCAGTGGTCACATTAATTGCCAGTTTCCATCTTCTCATAACATGACCCCCCCCCCCCCCACCCCACCCCACTCCCCCCCCCCTACCAAAAAAAAATTATTTTTCTGCTTCTTTATAATGTTTGTAATAAGAAGTCTTCAAGCCTCGACCATTTTCAAAACATTTGGGTTGCTCTGATTAGCTGTCCGAGAAAGTCTAAGCATTATTCTATAAAATCACATATTCGACACCTCAAGAAATTGTTCTGTGTGTTTCTAATTGTCCAGGGTTCACGGCCATACGTTAAAAATGGCTCCAAATAGCTAGCAATAATTCTTTTTATAACCTCTAATGACATGGATTTTTTTTTGAGGGGAGAAAAAAAAAAAAACTATTTTTTGTTATTTTGAAGCCCCACCATGGCTTTTGCCAGGGGTCCTAAAATAGCCTGACGGTTGAACGCGGTTTCTGGGACCTCTTCACGGGTTATTCTCATCCGCGTGGTGGCACTTTGTGTCATCAGGTGTTTATCGCTCTGTACGATTTCCTGGTGGGGTAACATTTACTTACTTTACTTACCAAAACAAGTAAACACCAGGAAAGTCTGATGGAAGGAGAGGCAGGCGGAGACTAGTGACGAAGATGTTAGTCTGGCATTGGGGAACATCTGTATTAGCAATGACTGGCGGTGGAACAGAATGATGACCAACTCCAGACTGCGTGGCCTATGAGAAGAAGACGAAGTTGTCAATATTATGTCCATGTTATATTTTTCTTGTGCTACATTTCCATGTTATATTTTTCTATTTTTACGATCTTATGTTATATTTTTCTCATGTTACATTCCCAAGTTATATTTTTCTCCTGTTACATTCCCATGTTATATTTTTCTCCTGTTACATTCCCATGTTATATTTTTCTCATGTTACATTCCCATGTTATATTTTTCTCCTGTTACATTCCTATGTTATATTTTTCTTGTGTTACATTCCCATGTTTTATTTTTCTCCTGTTACATTCCCAAGTTATATTTTTCTCGTGTTACATTCTCATGTTATATTTATCTTCTGTTACATTCCCATGTTATATTTGTCTTCTGTTACATTCCCATGTTATATTTTTCTGATGTTACATTCCCAAGTTATATTTTTCTCCTGTTACATTCCCATGTTATATTTTTCTCGTGTTACATTCTCATGTTATATTTTTCTTGTGTTACATTCCCGTGTTATATTTTTTCGTGTTACATTCCTAAGTTATATTTTTCTCGTGTTACATTCTCATTTTATATTTTTCTCGTGTTACATCCCCATGTTATGTTTTTTCGTGTTACATTCTCATGTTATATTTTTTTCTCGTGTTACATTACCATGTTATATTTTTCTTGTGTTACATTCTTATGTGTTATTTTTTATCGTGTTACATTTCAGTGTTATATTTCTCATTTCACATTCCCATGTTATATTTTTCTCGTGTTACATTGTCATGTTATATTTTTCATGTGTTTCATTCTCATGTTATACTTTTCTTGTGTTGCTTTTACATGTTATATTTTTCTTGTGTTACATTTTCATGTTAAATTTTTTGTGTCTTACATTCTCATGTTATGTTTTTCTTTTTTTTTATATTCTCATGCTATACTTTCTCGTGTTACATTCTTATGTTATATTTTTCTCGTGGTTATACTCATGTTATATTTTTCCCATGGAACATTTTTAGCTATATAAAGCTCTGAGGTCCTACTGTTCACAATTATACCAGTTTATTTCAACAAGTTAAATGCAATCCTGAGATAATATCCTGTATTAATATTCATGAATTTAGAACGTGGGGATATTGAAAAGAAAAACTGCTCTTAAAATATATTCAGAGAAAATTGCATTTGTGATAAGGGAATTTGATTTTTAAATGGCGTCTGCAGATTGTGATGCCCTTGCAGATGGTGAGGCCCAGTGTTGTAGTTTATTTAGCTCATACTTAAATTTGGCACTGTTTTCATGTGTTACAATTTTTGCATGTCGTCTGCAGATGAAGACACTGTCCACGACAAATAGAAAAGGCGGCAAGTGTGTTAAAATGCCTCCAAAAATCGCCTACAGCTCAAAAAAGCGCGGAAACAGCCGCGACAGCCAACGATCCCAGCCCCGTGTCCTCATGCGAGCTTGGCTGGAACATCTGTTGGATGAAGGGTTGTGTCGAGGCCTCCAGTGGGTAGATAAACATAGCCACCAGTTTTCTGTTGTCTGGCGCCACGGGTCCAGCAGTGGCTTTAACCCGTCGGAGCATTCGGAAGTCTTCAGCCGTTGGGCGCAGCATACAGGTAAGCTTTTAATTAATTCTAAAGGAGGCGTTGGCCAAACATAAACAGTACATTAACAAACAAATAAAAAACCTTTTAATTCTTTCTCTTCTATTCCATGCACGGTATATGATTAGCTATTAACCGTATGTATCACCGTAGCACAATGTGTGCTACAATCTGTTATGTTTGGTCTATGCATGCTACAGAAAGATGGCTAAATATGTTACTATACAGCACAGTGTATGCCATGTCTTTGAAAGTGACCCACTGATACTTTGCTGCTGTGGTTGTTGTGCCAGATTTGCTTTCTGCAGTGAAAAAAGGAGTGGGTGAGCGGACGGTCATGAACGCAGAGCAGTTTTGCAGGAGACCCGGATTGGAATTCTTGATGAAGTTGGAGATTTTTTTTTTCGGTCCAGGGCAAAAATAAACAACTTACCTACACAGACCGTGGAGACAGTTCTTGCGCCCTAAATCGTCAGGCTCAATCCCAAACACTCTTTCCAACCTTTGCATTAACCGCAAACGTGGCAAACAGGCAATAATTAGCAGTTTAACTCTTTCAGTCCCAGACACAACACTGGGTTACAACCTAGTATCAGTGACACGACAACAACAAAAGAAGAAGAGGAAGAAGATGACGAAGAAGAAGAAGAAGAAGAAGAAGAAGAAGAAGAAAAAGAAGAAGGAAAAGTAGTAGTAGTAGTAGTAGTAGTAGTAGTAGTAGTAGTAGTAGTAGTAGTAGTAGTAGTAGTAGTAGTAGTAGTAGTGGTGGTGGTGGTGGTGGTGGTGGTGGTGTGGTGGTGGTGGTGGTGGTGGTGGTGGTGGTGGTGGTGGTAGTAGTGGTAGCAGTAGTAGTAGTAGTTGTTGTTGTTGTAGAGTAGTAGTGGTGGTGGTGGTAGTGGTAGTAGTCCCAGGGGGTTAAGAAGCAGAGACCCGGGGGGTACTTCAGAGAGATGTAAAATCAGCGCATAATGCGTTTAATGGGCTTCTAATTAGAAACCTATGAACTTATGTTGCGTTTTTTTTTTTTTTTTTGATTGGAATTTAGTTAAAGGACCGTTTTCGCACCAGTGGCGCAGCGGACATATGATGCTGGACTCATATTTTTGTTGTCAAATGGGCACTCGGTGGATAATATGGTCAACACCACCCTGGTCGCCTTTACTTCCCATGGCCATACTTGACACCCGTTTTAGACTGGGCTCGACCCGGGAGCCAACGTTATTTTTGAAAGCAAATCGGACTTGATGCCTGGAAAGGATCTTTTAATGTTTTACTTAGTTGTTGTTTTGTATGGAACATACATTAGTTGTTGTTTTGTAGGGAACATACATTAGTTGTTGTTTTGTAGGGAACATACATTAGTTGTTGTTTTGTGAGAACATACATTAGTTGTTGTTTTGTAGGGAACATACATTAGTTGTTGTTTTGTAGGGAACATACATTAGTTGTTGTTTTGTGGGAACATACATTAGTTGTTGTTTTGTGAGAACATACATTAGCTGTTGTTTTGTGGATTTACATGCATTAGTTGTTGTTTTGTAGGAAACATACATTAGTTGTTGTTTTTTGGGAACATACATTTGTTGTGGTTTTGGGGATTGACACATATTATCTGTTGTTTTGTGGGAACATACATTGGTTGTTGTTCTCTGGATTTATACACATAAGTTGTTGTTTTGTGGGAACATACATTAATTGTTGTTCTGTGGATTAACACGCATTAGTTGTTGTTTTGTGGATTGACACGCATTAGTTGTTTTGTGGGAACATACATTAGTTGTGGTTTCGTGGGAACATACATTAGTTATTGTTTTATGGAAACATACATTAGTTGTAGTTTTGTGGGAACAAACATTAGTCGCTGTTTTGTGGGAACATACAGTAGTTGTTTTTTGGATTGACACACATAAGTTTTTGTTTTGTGGTAACGTACATTGTACATTAGCTGTTGTTTTGTGGGAACATACATTAGTTGTTGTTTTGTGGGAACGTACATTGTACATTAGCTGTTGTTTTGTGGGTTGACCCACATTAGTTGCCGTGTTGCGGATTAACACACACACACACATTTTCTTGTGTGGATTAAAACAAAATAATTGTTGTTTTGTGAATTGACGCACCTTAATTGTTGTTTTGTGGATTAGCACGCATTAATTGTTGTTTTGTGGAAATATAAATTAGTTGTTGTTTTGTGGATTTACACACATTAGTCATTGTTTTGTTGGTTGACCCACATTAGCTGCTGTGTTGCGGATTAACACACACACACAAATTGTCTTTTGTGGATTAAAACAAAATAATTGTTGTTTTGTGGATTGACACGCATTAATTGTTGTTTTGTGGAAATATACATTAGTTGTTGTTTTGTGGATTGACACGCATTAATTGTTGTTTTGTGGAAATATACATTAGTTGTTGTTTTGTGGATTGACACGCATTAATTGTTGTTTTGTGGAAATATACATTAGTTGTTGTTTTGTGGATTGACACGCATTAATTGTTGTTTTGTGGAAATATACATTAGTTGTTGTTTTGTGGATTGACAAAACACATTAGTTGTTTTGTGGATTGACACACGCTGGTTGTTGTTGTGATAGGACATACGTTAGCTTGTGTTTTCTAATTAACACTAGTTAATTGTTGCTTTGTGAACTGACCCACGTTAATTGTAGTTTTGTAGATTAACATACATTAATTGTTGTTTTGTGGATTGACACAATAATTGTTGTTCTCTAGGGACATACATTAATTGTGCGTGTGTATGTGTGGATTGACACACGGTAATTTTTGTTTTGTGGGAACATACATTAGTTGTTTTGTATATTGGCACTCGTTAATTGTTGTTTTGTGGGAACATACATTAGTTGTTTTGTATATTGGCACTCGTTAATTGTTGTTTTGTGGGTCAATGCACTCGTTAATTGTTTTTTTATGGATTGACACACATTAATTGTTGTTTTGTAGGTAGACACACCTTAATTGTTGTTCTGATAGGATATACATTAGTTGTTGTTTTATAAAAAGACACACGGTATTTGTTGTTTTGTGGGAGCAAACATACATTAGTTTTGGGGATTAACAAACACTGATTCTTTGTGGATAAAAACACTCTAGTTATTGTGTTTTCTTTTTTTGGGTGGGGGGCGGGGGGGGGGGGGGGGGATTCACACACGTTTGTTGCTGCTTTATGGATTAACACACATTCATTGTTGTTTTGTAGATTAACACACGTTCATTGTTGTTTTGTGGATTAACACAAATTCATTGTTGTTTTGTGGATTGACACACATGTATTGTTGTTTTGTGCATTGACACAATTTAATTGTTGTTTTGTGGATTAACACACAATAATTGTTATTTCGTGGATTGACTCATTAATTGTTGTTTTGTGGATTGACACACGTTAATTTTTGTGTGTGTGTGGATTAGCACACATTATTTGTTGTTTTGTGAATTTATACACATTAATTGCTGTGTTGTGGTTTAACTCATATTAATTGTTAATTTGTGGGGGAAAAAAATAATTTTTGTTGTAATTAGTTGTTGTTTATTTGACAACAATTACTGACTGTCCCTACAAAACAACAATTTACGTGTGTCAATCCACAAAACAACAAAATAATGTCTGTCAACAAAATAACAACTAATAACAACAAAAATAATGTGTTTTAGTTCACAAAACAACACATAGTGTGTGAGTGTCAATCCACACAACAACAATAAATGTGTGTCAATCCAGAAAACAACAATTAACGTTTGTCAATCCACAAAATAGCAAATAATGTGTGTCAATCCACAAAACAACAAATAATATGTATCAATCCACAAAACAACAAGTACTGACTGTCCCTACAAAACAACAGTTAACGTGTGTCAATCCACAAAACAACAACAATAATATATATATAATCCACAAAACAATAATTACTGACTGTCCCTACAAAACAACAATTAACGTGTGTGAATCCACAAAATGACAAATAATATGTGTCAACAAAACAACAACTAATTACAACAAAAATTAGTTTTAATTCAAAAAACAACAATTAATGTGTGTTAATTCACAACGCAGCGACTAATGTGTATAAACCCACAAAACAACAATTAATGTGTGTTAATCCACAAAACAAAAATCAGTAATCATTGTTTTGTGGATTGACACACATTTATTGTTGTTTTGTGGATTGACACACATTAATTGTTGTTTTGTTGATTGACACACAATAATTTTGGTTTAGTGGATTGACACACGTTACTTGTTATTTTGTGGATTGACACACATTTTTTGTTGTTTTATGGACTGAAACAAGTTAATTGTGGTTTTGTGAAAATATACATTTGTTGTTGTTTTGTGGATTGACACACATTAATTGTTGTTTGTCGGACAAACATTAGTTGTTGTTTTGTAGATTACCACACATTAATTGTTGTTTAGTGGATTAAAACAAATTCTTTTTGTTTTGTGGGGACAAACATTTGTTGTTCTTTTGTGGATTGACACGCCGTAATTGTTGTTTTGTATATTAAAACACATTAACTGTTGTTTTGTGGGGACCTATGTTAGCTGTTGTTTTGTAGATTAATACACAATAATTGTTGTTTTGTGGATTGACACACATTAATTGTTGTTTTGTGGATTAACACACATTAATTGTTGTTTTGTGGATTGACACACATTAATTGTTGTTTTGTGGATTAACACACATTATTGTTGTTTTGTGGATTAAAACAAATTCTTTTTGTTTTATGGGGACTTACATTTGTTGTTGTTTTGTGGATTGACACACATTAATTGTTGATTTGTGGATTGACACACATTATTTGTTGTTTTGTGGGGACCTATGTTAGCTGTTGTTTTGTAGATTAATACACAATAATTGTTGTTTTGTGGATTGACACACATTAATTGTTGTTTTGTGGATTAACACACATTAATTGTTGTTTTGTGGATTGACACACATTAATTGTTGTTTTGTGGATTAACACACATTATTGTTGTTTTGTGGATTAAAACAAATTCTTTTTGTTTTATGGGGACTTACATTTGTTGTTGTTTTGTGGATTGACACACATTAATTGTTGATTTGTGGATTGACGCACATTATTTGTTGTTTTGTGGATTGACACACATTAATTGTTGTTTTGTGGATTACCACACATTAATTGTTGTTTTGTGGATTGACACACATTAATTGTTGTTTTTTGACAAGCATTAGTTGTTGTTTTGTAGACTAACACACATTAATTGTTGTTTTGTGGATTAAAACAAATTCTTTTTGTTTTATGGGGACTTACATTTGTTGTTGTTTTGTGGATTGACACGCGTTAATTGTTGTTTTGTATATTAAAACACATTAATTGTTGTTTTATGGGGACCTATGTTAGTTGTTGTTTTGTGGATTGACACACATTAATTGTTGTTCTCTAGAGACAAACAGTAATTTTGTGTGTGGATTGACACATGGTAATTATTGTTTTGTGGATTTACACACGTTAATTTTTGTTTTGTAGGAACATACATTAGTTGTTTTGTATATCGACACATGTTAATTACTGTTTTGTAAATTGGCAGACCTTAATTGTTGTTTTGTGAATCGATACACGTTAATAGTTGTTTTATAGATTGACACACGTTAACTGTTGTTTTGTGGGGGCAAACATACATTCGTTTTGTCGACTGACAAACACTGTTTGTTTGTGCATAAAATCACTGGGGGGTTTTTTTTTTGGAAAAGGGGGGGGGGGTGGGGTGGGGTGGGGGATGAATATTGACACACATTAGTTGTTGTTGTTTTATGGATTACCACAGCTTAATTTTTGTTTGGTGGGGACATACAAAAATTTATGTTTTGTAGATTTACACACGTAAATTGTTGTTTTGCGGATTGACACACGTTAATTGTTGTTTTATGAATTGACACACGTTAATTTTTTGTTTTATGGATTGACACACGTTAATTGTTGTTTTATGGATTGACACACGTTAATTTTTTGTTTTATGGATTGACACACGTTAATTTTTGTTTTATGGATTGACACACGTTAATTGTTGTTTTATGGATTGACACACGTTAATTTTTTGTTTTATGGATTGACACACGTTAATTGTTGTTTTATGGATTGAGATACGTTAATTACTGTTTTGTGGATACAAATATACATTAGTTTTGTTGATTGACACACACTGGTTATTGTTTTGTGGATTGCCAAACACTGGTTGTTTGTGGATTAACAAACATTGGTTATTGTTTTGTGGATTGACACACACGGGTACTTTGGTAGATTAACACTTACTGGTTAGGGAGTCGCCGTGGCGGAGCGACTAGACGCTCGCCGCGGATCGGAAGGTCGTGGGTTCGCTTCCTAGCGGAGCCAGACGTTTTTCAAAAATGACCTTGGTTTCCAGGTCGACCCAACCTTGAGTGGGTACCTAATGCAGTCCCGGGAAGTAGAGGCAGCCGGCGTGATGCTGACCACATCACCCATCTTGTGCCGATTGGTCTATAAAATGTAGGTCTAGCCCTATGCGCCTAAGGCGTGGAAAAGGGTCTTTTACTTTTTTTTTACTCATTTGCATACTGATTATTGTTTTGTGGATTGACAAACACTGGTTGTTTGTGGAAAAACACAAATAATTTAATGTTTTCTGGATTTACACATATTGGTTGTTTGTGGAATAATACACACTAGTTATTGTGGATTAACACACTAGTTATTGTGGATTAACACACTAGTTATTGTGGATTAACACACTAGTTATTGTGGATTAACACACTAGTTATTGTGGATTAACACACTAGTTATTGTGGATTAACACACTAGTTATTGTGGATTAACACACTAGTTATTGTGGATTAACACACTAGTTATTGTGGATTAACACACTAGTTATTGTGGATTAACACACTAGTTATTGTGGATTAACACACTAGTTATTGTGGATTAACACACTAGTTATTGTGGATTAACACATATTTAATAATGTTTTCTGGATTAAAATACATTGGTTTTTTGTGAATGTCGGCCCTGGACGTGTGTATATATACAGAAGAACTGCTGGTATTTCAAGGAGATGAAACAATTAAATACCTAGGTTTTGATGAACTGACGTGAAAAGAGGGTTGTGGGGAGAAAGAAACAAGAAACGATGGAAATAATTCTGCCATATTTTAAAGATAAACTGCACACTACGAAGCAGGTCGTAAGAGGCGAATAAAGTAGGGCGGGAATGGTTGACACTGCAGTCTATAAAATATTTAGACGCAAAAACTAGCCAATTATGATTTAAGTTTTTTTTTCTTTCCAACTAACCAACGGTTGTTGGCTTGCGTTTTCTTCGAGTAATCAAGGAGAGAGAGAGAGTGGGGCGGGAGGTTTTTCTTGATCTCATTCAATCTTTTGCCCTCAACCTGCTCTGTGTCCATTATATTTCTTCAGCGTGCTTCTCTGTTGCAGTAATTAATTATTTTTTTAAAAATCAAATCATTAGTCATCCCACTTGTGGAATGCAATTTTTCGTTATTTTGAAGCCCCACCCTGGCTCTTGCCAGGGGCCGCAGTATAGCCAGGCCATAAATATGGCCTGATGGCTGAAAGCGGTTTCCGGAAACTCTCCACGGGTGATCCTCATTCACATGTTGGCACTTTGTGTCATCGGGTGTTTATCTCTTGTGTGGGGTAAAAGTACTACTACTACTACTCTACTACTACTCCTACTACTACTACACTCTACTACTACTACTACTACTACTACTACTACTACTACTACTACTCTACTACTACTCCTACTACACTCTACTACTACTACTACTACTACTACTACTCTACTACTACTCCTACTACTACTACACTCTACTACTACTACTACTACTACTACTCTACTACTACTCCTACTACTACTACACTCTACTACTACTACTACTACTACTACTACTACTACTACTACTACTACTACTACTCTACTACTACTCCTACTACTACTACACTCTACTACTACTACTACTACTACTACTACTACACTCTACTACTACTACTACTACTACACTCTACTACTACTACTACTACTACTACTACTACTACTACTACTACTACTACTACTACTACTACTACTACTACACTCTACTACTACTACTACTACTACTACTACTACTACTACTACTACTACTACTGTTGCAGATTGTATAAGGGCATTCTCATCAGATGGTCAGACAATCTCATCGGTTGCTACCTTATGAACTATAATACTAATTTAAGTTTGTTTGACCATAAATTACAATCTATTTATTCTGTATCACAGGTAAACTAGAAAGGGGCAACGGTTTGGATAATTCAGCCAATAAGAGTGCATTCAGATGTGCTCTACATAGCCTCAAAGACTGCATCGATATCACAAAGGAGGGCGAAATCAAGGGGGAAAGTGCTAAAAGAACATTCCAGTTCATTAACCCAGGACATCCTAAATATGATCGTATGTTGGCCTTTCGTTCTGTATATTTGACTTTCTTTCTGTATATCGGGTTTCTATCTGTATGTTGGACTTCCGCTCTGTATATTTGACTTTCTTTCTGTATGTTAGACTTCCGTTCTGTATATTTGACTTTCTTTCTGTTTGTTGGACTTCCGTTCTGTATATTTGACTTTCTTTCTGTATGTTGGAATTCCGTTCTGTATATTTGACTTTCTGTATTTGGACTTCCGTTCTGTGTATTTAACTTTCTGTATGTTGGAATTCCATTCTGTATATTTGGCTTTCTGTATGTTGGACTTCCGTTCTGCATATTTGACTTTCTGTATGTTGGACTTCCGTTCTGTATACTTTCTTTCTGTGAATCGGGTTCCTTTCTGTATGTTGGATTTTTTTTTAATTTTTTTTTATTTGTTAGAACTTTATTTCTGAATGTTTGACTTTTTTCTAAATGTTGTACTCACGAGCTAAGCTGCAGGAGATGCGGATGCTGCTGCTCGTGAGTCCTAGCCATCTAGTTTAGCCCCAATTCACGCCGCGTGAGTGGCGTGGGAGACACGGGGCGGTGGCGGTAGTTGGCGGAAAACCTCAAATTAAGCAGCCGGAAGTGCGCAATAGACACGTGACTGTGGCTCGAAAGGATATTTTGTGGATGCCATCTTTAGTGCCCGTTATTCGAAGGATAGCCTCTTATTTTATAGTTGGTTTTATTTTTTTTTTTTTTTTTTTTACGTATCCAGAAACCATGAGTTGTAAACCCTTTGGCTCGGTACTATGGATATCGCAACCCTTCGGCATTGATTCCATTATAGGTACCGTTAATCTGGGAGAAATGTGGCTTTTCTGCCTACCCCCGGGAGTGAACCCGGACCACAAGGAGTTCGTCACCCGGCCGCCGCGAAAGTCAGGTTTTTTTTTTTTTTGGTTAGACAGACTACAGGAAGAATACTTGAGTGCTGTATGGATTAAGCTTTAATATATGGCTGCTAATTCTAGACAGTTCGTAAACAAACCAAATAATATCTTGAGGCCTCAGAAATGTGGTTTCACAAAATAAAGCTTACAATATGGACAACTAAAATGAGTAATCCAAATCGTCTTCTTCTTCTTCTTTCGTTCGCTTAAAATAAATTATCTGTATCTGCAATGTTGTCTCCAGTATAAACTTCACTGTCTTTTGTAATTCACTTAGCGATCCTTAAAGTTTGACTTGCACCGATGTTTCTCTAGGCCAAAAGTTTTGTCTTGATGAGTTGTATTTTGGGCAGTTTTGGAGGACATGATCTCAGGTGCCAATCCACATGTGCACATGGCTGATTCGCCGATTTTAAATTGTGTGTACATGTGGCTGCGAAGTCGATTGTATCCTGTTTCTAAGGCGTAGTAATCCATATGTTTTTAACAGAGACAAGGGCTGGAAGAAAACCATTCAAAAACATCAGAAGGAGACGGTCGTCGTTTTTTAACCATGTAATGAACAGAGGAAACTTGAACACGTTGTCACGACTGGAAGGATTTGTGGCAGGAGAGATACGGGGAGACAACGTTCTGGGCCGCCTTCTATCATGACATGGAAGGGAGTCAGCACAGGAACAGACACACATGCTATTGGTTGATCGCAAGTTGTAGAGAGGGATGTTCGCCCACGCCACTCACCAAGATACTTAACAATAGGTCATCATCATCATCAGGTTCCTTGCCGACTGGCGTGGGCGATCATGCCTCTCCATAATCCACGATCTCCGGCAGCATGTATCAGTTCGTGTGCCGACACACCTCTATGCCATGCAACAAGATGTCAAAAATCTTCTCTCCTTGTCTTCCTCTATCCCTCCTTTTACAGATATTTCCAGTGGTCACAACATGTTCTATTTTCCCTTTTCTCATAACATGGTAGAAAAATGATGGCTGTCTCCTTCTGATGTTTGTGATAAGTTGTCTTCGGGCTCCCGCCTCTTTCAAAACCTCTTGGTTGCTCTTTTTGGCTGTCCAAGGTATTCTAAGCATTCTTCTGTAAAACCACATCTCTGAGGCCTCTAGAAATTCTTTGGCCTGCCTACCGATTGTCCAGGATTCACAGCCATATGTTAAAACTGGATGTATGTAGAAAGCAAGAATTCTTTTTCTAACTCTCAATGACAAGGATATATTGCACAAGATGTTCTTCGTTTGATAAAATGCAGTTTTTGCCTGTCAATAGGTCATAGGTCCTTTAAAAAAAACCCACTCCAAACCGTCGTTTCCATTGCTGTCTCACCCCTTGTCCTTTCAGTTATTCACCTGTCCTGAACTCTCTTTTTAACCTGTTTGATGTCTCTTTTCCTTTCTTTGGCAGTGGGGGTTCCAGTGTAAAAACATTGTGGCTATGCTATTATCAATGTTATTGCTTGTTCAGTGCCCTATCTGTTTTCAACTTGTTTTCCTAATCTCTTGATTTACTGGAATTTGTTTAGTTCCTTCCTAAAGCTGCGACATCTGTCAAACTTCTTGATTCATTGTATTTTAAGTCCTCTTAGTGCTTCCATGATTTTTGATATCCGTTTGCATTGTTTGATCATGTCTACAAGTTTATAAGTAACTACTTCATTTTATAAAATCTCTACACTGCTTCTGATAAATTATTAATTACACTATGATGCGAAAAATATATCTTTCTATAGTCTATTTTTAGATGGTTCAAAGCATTCACTTTATTCCAACAGGCAAAAAAAGGTCAAGATGCTCAAAAAAGAAGGTAAGAAACTGCGCAATAAGCAGTTTGATAATCAATTTAGCACCTTAGGCTGCACTGTGTTAGCTTGTGTAGATCATGGTAAGTTGGATCATCATCATCATCAACTGCCTTGTCAGCTGGCATAGGCGTTTGTGCGTCTATACAGCTCTCGGTCTTTGGTGTTCTGGATTAATTCCACTGAAGATATTTCCCCAATGCACTGTCGTTAGCCATCCACCATCATTTCTCTTGGTCTGCCTCTTCTACCAGTAATCTTTCCAGTCATCACGATATTTTCGAGTGCTCCTTTTTTTTTTTATCACAGGATCAAAGAATTTTGTTTGTTTCCTTCTCATTGCTGTATATAATGTTCCACTTTCATAAGCCATTTCAAGGCAATCATTGTTAATCATTCTGGCAATCCTAGGTTTTTCCAACATGCTTCTCAAGAACCACATCTCAGTTGCTTCCAAACTCTTCTTAATTTGTTTGCTCACATAAGTCGGGTACACACATTAGTTGTCTTTGCATAAACCAAACACTCAGAATAAGTTGCATTAACCAAACACTCAGAATAAGTTGCATAAAACAAACACTCAGAATAAGTTGCATAAAACAAACACTCAGAATAAGTTGCATAAAACAAACACTCAGAATAAGTTGCATAAACCAAACACTCAGAATAAGTTGCATAAACCAAACACTCAGAATAAGTTGCATAAACCAAACACTCAGAATAAGTTGCATAAAACAAACACTCAGAATAAGTTGCATAAACCAAACACTCAGAATAAGTTGCATAAATCAAACACTCAGAATAAGTTGCATAAACCAAACACTCAGAATAAGTTGCATAAACCAAACACTCAGAATAAGTTGCATAAAACAAACACTCAGAATAAGTTGCATAAACCAAACACTCAGAATAAGTTGCATAAACCAAACACTCAGAATAAGTTGCATAAAACAAACACTCAGAATAAGTTGCATAAACCAAACACTCAGAATAAGTCGCAGTGTGTTTCTGAGAGCAAGTGCTTATGCTGTTCGGGTTGTCCTTGCCGTTGTGCCTCTAGCAGCTTCTTTTTGCCTACCACAGCGGAAGTGGTTGCCAGTTCTGTCATGTTTTCAGTGGCTCTCTAACTTTCTTGTATGGGTTCCTGGGTCCCATTGTGGGGGAGGGGGAGGAAAGGGGTGGGGGGGGGGGGGCAGGAATAGACCCACTGGCCCTCTTACAAGCATGTAGTAAAAGACGACTAATTATGGGTTTTTCTTTCTACGTCAGATTACATCTGTGTCAGAGATAAGGAATCAACAGTCTGCACACAAATAGCTAGGTTTGTAAAATGGATGTGCATGGTGTGTCACTAAACGGACACTCTACCCCACACACAGGGTCACAACCATTTCTTTTTGACTGCATAATTCTGGCTTAAATTTTAATAAATTGTGACTATAGTTTTGGCCCGGCTCGCTAGCATAGTTGGCTAAACCGGACTCAGCGATGACCAGGTGACGAACTCCTTGTGGTCCGGGTTGACGCCCGGGGGAAGACAGAAAAGCCACATATATTCCAGATTTACGGTATTTGCCATAGAATCAAGGGCGAAGGGTTGCGATATCAATAATACGGAGCCTAAGGGTTAACAACTCATGGCTTCTGGATACTAAAAAACAAAAAAAACTATAGTTTTGCCCCTGACGATATACATCGAAATATGATAGACAATAAATTGTGCAACCTTTTTTTTTGCGTCTTCTTTGTTCACATTTCCAATGGGGAAACATTACTTATGATTCTGGCAATATTACTGTTTTATACCTTTAGATCGAACCGAAAGAGGAAACGGCTGCCTTCACATCTGACACAGATGAACAAGACACACAGACTCCAGACACTGAGCACATAGTCACTGATCAAGATGCCTGGACACCAGTCACTGGACATATAGTCAATGACCAAGATACAAATACATGGGAATCTCAGCCAACCATGGAGACACATGACATTCAGCAAGAGACAATCATGTGGCCATACCCGCAAGCTGAGGCTGATGCATCAACATCACGTGCTTATCCGTCTTTCATCTTTCAGGCTACAGAGATCCCTGTTGATGTAAGCGCACAGGAAACTGTCGTTGATACATCATCCCCAATAGCTGATACCAAATCTCTTGGCTTCGTTGATGTTATTGAAAGAACTGTGCTTGTTCATAATTTTGATGGCCTGTCGCTGGCGGATCCTACCAACACTACACAGCATTTATTTGAGACACAACCCAATGAGATCATTGTTCTGAAACTCAATGGGGAGGTCACTCAGGCGGACAATGCTGATGACAGCAAACTTCCAGTATTTTCTAAACTAGGTGTGTCAGATACATGTAAGTATAATTTAACTTGTAAAAGTCTATCTAGCACAAACAAGTATATCATCTCTCACAGATAAGTATATAATCTAGCACAAATAAATCATTTAACACAGGTATGACTTTAGCACATATAAGTATATAAATCTAACACAGATAGGTTAAACTAATGAGAAAAAAAAAGTATACAGTCTGGCACAGATGAGTCTATTTAGCAGAGATAAGTAAATCCTCTTGATACTGTTAAGTATATTATCTAGCACAGATAAAGCTAAGCAGCACAAATAAGTATCATCTATATATATATATTAAATATATCCCCTAATGCAGAAACTAAGTTTATCATCTAGCACAGATACTATAAGCCTATCATTTAGCACAAATAAGTCTATTATCTAGCGCAGATAAGTCTTTTGTCAAGAATATATATATATCTAGCACAGTATGACTATCTTCTAACACACAAAAATCTATCATCTAACACAAACGAGTCTATCGTCTAGCACAGATAAGTGTGTCATCTAGCACAGATAGTATATCATCTAAAATATACATCTCTTTCATGTAGCACAGTTTAACTATCTTCTAACAGTGGAAAAAAAACTATAATATAGCACAGTTAGTCAATCATCTAGCACAGATACGTGTAGCATATAGCATAGATATGTGTAGCATATAGCACTGATAAGTCTATCATCTAGCATAGATAAGTCTAACATCTAGAATAGGATTTGGGGGTGATCAGGCAAAAATATCTCCAGCAGAAAATATGAAGAGCTCTTAATAATGACAGATGCATGAACAAATGCTACAATGGTTGTTGATTTTTTAAAAATGATTAAAATAACCTTAGCTAATTTAATAATTATTTTAAGGTAATTATAAAGCGGGACAAACGGTCTTCTAGTGCAGACATATTGGATTTGAAGCAAAAACAGTGATGCCACTAAAAAATATTTTTAAACATTTGCTCTCAGACAATCTTTGTGAAATTTCCCGTACTTATATAAAAAAAATTAATGCAGAATTCAAAAATACACCACAAATTGCCTTAATCTGGCTAATCAAGAAGATATTTAGGAACTTACTTACCGTTAATTCACTGCGTGCTGCCAAAAAAAATCGATTTATCATATGGGCGTCAAAACCATGTCAGGTCAAAGCCTAACATCTCTCCAATAACTCCTAATAATTGTTCTGATTTGATCTTTCACGTAAAGAGCACAGAAAAAATAATTTCTCAGTAAGGGTCAATTCGGGCTGGTTTTGTCAGTCACGGTGGCGTCCCTAGTTACTGGTGAAAATGTAAAGCAAAATAAACGAAACAAAACAATGCATAACAATAGCTAAGAATACATATTCTCTCATCTAGCACTGTGTGGCTATCTTCTAACACAGACAAATCTATCAGATAGCACAGATAAGTCTATCATGTTGCACAGATTAGTGTATCATATAGCACAGATAAGTCTGTCATCTAGATTATAAATGTCTCTCATCTAGCACAGCTTTATACTATCTGTTAATAGTGAAAAAAAAATAACAATGACTATCTTCTGACACAGAAAAATATACCATACAGCAGATATAAATATATCATCTAACACAGGTTCATCTGTCATGTAGTGCACACATGTTTATTATTTAGCACAAATTAGTCTGTCACTTTAATAGATAAGTGTGTCATATAGCACAGATAAGTCTATCATGTAGCACAGATAAAACTGTCATCTAGAACAGAACAGAAACCTTTACAGAAACATGTAAGTCTATCATCTAACACAGATCAGTCTCTTACACAATACAGAAACATCATCTAATACAAATAAATCTGTTATGCAATACAGGAACTTGTAAATATATTATCCAGTGGAGATATAAACCACTACATCACTATAATTATCTACATACTAGATTATATATTAACTAATTGATACATTTTAATATTTATTTTTGCAGATGAAGTACCCTTTGCTCATACTGGGCTAAATTCTGGAGGCAGTGTCACAGTGAAAAAGGGCAGGCAAATGAACTCGAGTGCTCATCACTTTTTAATTAAACAACCATCAGTGGTAAGTGTCTACATATATCTGGCCAACTCAGTTGTTATTGAGAAACATCAACAAATGTCTGGCCAACACAGTTGTTATCAAGAAGTATCAATAAATATCTGGTTAACATGGTTGTTATTGAGAAGTATCAACAAATATCTGGCTAACACGGTTGTTATTGAGAAGTATCAACAAATATCTGTCTAAGACGGTTGTTATTGAGAAGTATCAACAAATGTCTGGCCAACACAGTTGTTATCAAGAAGTATCAATAAATATCTGGTTAACATGGTTGTTATTGAGAAGTATCAACAAATATCTGTCTAAGACGGTTGTTATTGAGAAGTATCAACAAATATCTGTCTAAGACGGTTGTTATTGAGAAGTATCAACAAATATCTGTCTAAGACGGTTGTTATTGAGAAGTATCAACAAATGTCTGGCCAACACAGTTGTTATCAAGAAGTATCAATAAATATCTGGTTAACATGGTTGTTATTGAGAAGTATCAACAAATATCTGTCTAAGACGGTTGTTATTGAGAAGAGTAACAAATATCTGTCTAAGACGGTTGTTATTGAGAAGAGTAACAAATATCTGTCTAAGACGGTTGTTACTGAGAAGTATCAACAAATATCTGTCTAAGACGGTTGTTACTGAGAAGTATCAACAAATATCTGTCTAAGACGGTTGTTATTGAGAAGAGTAACAAATACCTGTCTAAGACGGTTGTTATTGAGAAGTATCAACAAATATCTGGCTAACACTGTTGTTATTGAGAAGTATCAACAAATATCTGTCTAAGACGGTTGTTATTGAGAAGTATCAACAAATGTCTGGCCAACACAGTTGTTATCAAGAAGTATCAATAAATATCTGGTTAACATGGTTGTTATTGAGAAGTATCAACAAATATCTGTCTAAGACGGTTGTTATTGAGAAGTATCAACAAATATCTGGCTAACACGGTTGTTATTGAGAAGTATCAACAAATATCTGTCTAAGATGGTTGTTATTGAGAAGTATCAACAAATGTCTGGCCAACACAGTTGTTATCAAAAAGTATCAATAAATATCTGGTTAACATGGTTGTTATTGAGAAGTATCAACAAATATCTGTCTAAGACGGTTGTTATTGAGAAGTATCAACAAATGTCTGGCCAACACAGATGTTATCAAGAAGTATCAATAAATATCTGGTTAACATGGTTGTTATTGAGAAGAGTAACAAATATCTGTCTAAGACGGTTGTTATTGAGAAGAGTAACAAATATCTGTCTAAGACGGTTGTTACTGAGAAGTATCAACAAATATCTGTCTAAGACGGTTGTTACTGAGAAGTATCAACAAATATCTGTCTAAGACGGTTGTTATTGAGAAGAGTAACAAATATCTGTCTAAGACGGTTGTTATTGAGAAGAGTAACAAATATTTGTCTAAGACGGTTGTTACTGAGAAGTATCAACAAATATCTGTCTAAGACGGTTGTTACTGAGAAGTATCAACAAATATCTGTCTAAGACGGTTGTTATTGAGAAGAGTAACAAATACCTGGCTAAGACAGTTGCTTTTGGCGAGTGTCAGCTAATCTGGCCAGTATAGTTGTTAAGGATGCCAGTGCCTCCCTAACTCTAACAAACAAACAAACAAACAAAAATCATTATTTGTTAGAATAAATAATAAAAAGTATCTAACACAGTCATTATTTTAAGAGCATATTTAACAGAGTAGTGCATTTAATTGAAAATCTTTATCATGAACAACAAGCAGCCATCAGAGCAGCTGGTGAAACATCTGATTGGTTCAAGGTGCAAAAGGGGTGAGGCAGGGGTGCATTCTCTCACCATACCTATTCAATATATACGCAGAAAATATAATGAGAAATGTCACAAATGACCAGACTTGGGACAGTTATGATCCGCTCAAAATTGGTGGCAACCCTATTCCGGAACTCCGGCATGCAGATGAGACACAGTCCTCTTTTCGAACAGTGTAAAGGGAATAGAAAATTTAATAGTGTCTGTCCAAAAGCACAGTGAAGATCAAAATCTGTTCTTGAATTTAAAGAAAAACGAAAATAATGTCCACAGATAAAACTAGCTGTCACCCAACAATAACAATAAATGATGAAGAAATTGAAAATGTCACAAACTTTGAATATCTAGGCTCTATAATAAACAACAATGGAGACTGTTCGACAGAAATTAAAAGGAGGATGGCCATAGCAATGCAAAGATTGAACAGCCTTAAAAGTCGATGGTTAAGCACCAGCAAGGAGATAAAAATTAGAATTTTTGAGAGCATGCATCTTCCCTGTGGCTACATACGGATGTGAGTCGTGGACTATCTCTCAGTCCTTAAGAAAGAGAATAGGGGCTTTTGAGCTGAAATGCTATAGAAAGATTCTCAGATTATCTTGGACAAAGAAGAGGAGAAATATTGACACCTTAAAAGATCTAAACATCAATGAAGATTGGCTAATAAACAGCATCCTTTCTCGAAAACTGAAATATTTTGGTCATATTAAGCGCCACGACGGATTGGAAAAAATTATAGCAGAGGGCATGGTACCAGGAAGGAGGGGCAGGGGCCGACCGACACGAAGATGGGCACAGGATACAAGTGACTCCTTGAGTGTGAAAGTTCATGAGGCGGGAGAACTGGCAAGAGACCGAGTTTCTTACAGGCAGACCGTGATGAGAGCGACGTTCTGTAAAGGACCTGCTACATGATGAGTATCTCTTTCAGTCCCAAATAACACCTGCTATGTAAATGACTTTACCCCTTGATTTCACTCCATAGCATAATCTGCTAAATTATATTTGGTTACAAAATACTAGAGAAATCTCGCTTTTCCAAACTGTCACTAGGGCTTTGCATATTGACACTTTAAATGTCATTAATTTACAATTTTTCATCAAGTTTTTTTCTTTATATATCTCCCATAAAACCGTATAATACTGAAAGAGTTAACATAGTATTAACATATTTCACCTGTTGCTTGGAGGACTTCTTCACTGTATGTAAAATATATGTTTTAGACATTTTGGCTTAAACCAGAAGATTTTCCTACACACAAACATATGATATCTTTAACAGGAACCACAGGATCAGTCAGCTGTAGCCACAGTTCCTGACCCTGTCGACACCAGTTCAGATGAGACTGGCTATGGTAAGTAACATAATGAAGGTCTATATTTAACACTAGTTGATCCACAATTCATGTTTAACTGCAGATTAAACCATTCAGCCCATAAGTGCTCAGATTCCGCCTCTTTACTATATCTTTCAGGGTGTGGAAACTTGTGGCACCACTTTTGTGTTAGTGCACTAATCTTGGAAAGCTTCACAACTTTTGATTAGCACTACAGTCTGCATACAAATAAGCCAGCTCTGTAAAATGGACGTGCATGCAAAACTCACGTTCTGGAACAAGACCAAAGTCCAGAAGTGGACAAACAACCAAAATTGACTGCTGGAGTTCACAGCCGGTGAACAGAAAAAAGAAGGAGATTTGCAGTAATTGCAGTCTGGTCAAGGTTACTGATTCAGTCATCACTAAATATATTTTTCAACCTCCCTGCCTCTCTAGTGGCACCAGCCATGTTCACCACTAATTGGCTTTCCCTAGTAGTCTCTGGCATGCCAGTACATTTTTTTAAAAACTTATTGTTGAAAAGACAAGGTAAGCGAGACACATAGAAATGGCTCAGATATATTTCATTCAGGTCTCTGTCAGTCAGGTGCCATCTCCACAATGAAGGTTGGCTGCAGTGGATCTTCAACAGCCATTTACTCGTTGTAGCTGCTCGCTCTTTAATACTGTTGAGTTGAGTCAAGAATTGTGACATTACACTACCGTACTATTTCCATAAGTGCTCTGTCCCCATCCTCAGCAGCCAGTGTAGTTCCAGTACTAATGGTGCCGGTCGTAGTCTGCCTTGTCATGTATCAATTCACCACCCAGCAGTGCAAATCCAGCCAATCTGTCTACATGTTCATTCCCCACCCCGCCGGCATTGTCCGGAGAAAAAATCCAAAGTTTGCTCACTACCCGTGACCTTGCAAGTGAAGCTTGCCACTCTTCGCTGCCATGTCTTCGCCTTTTTTCAGCATGCCTTCAGAGTCTGTTACAATTTTTTGGTACTGCTGTTCGTCCATCTCTTGTGTTGTCCTCCCACTGTTTATGTATCAATATGTAACTGTTTTTTTTTTTTCCTTGTTCTGGATGCTTCCTTAAAATGATAGCATGTTGTAGAAATGGCACCTGATTGACTGATTCATCTAAATCTCATCACCTAATCATAATATGAGTCTTCTTCCCTTAACAAGGCAGTTGCCACGCTGCATTTAGATTTACAGCTAGGCTGTGATTTCTCCACCTTCCAGCCCATCATATCCGAGTTCAGGAGTGGGTCTGTTCTTTTTCCCTCAAAATGGGGCCTAAGAGCAGACATGGGGAATTTAACTCTTAAATGTCCAACAATAATTCTTGCTTCTCTACTATTCGAATAGAGAGAACCATGGTAAGTGAGTGGCTAGCATTTTTCTTTGTAAGCATAGTGGTGGTCTGTGTTCAAATCCCTACTGAAGCAACCTGGCTTTAGGCATACCTAGTCAACATTGCAGAAGGATGAATACATCATTGAGGGATTGGAACCCACATAAGGAATACCTGATAATGAAATAAACTGTAAATTAGTATCTCAGCCCTAAGGTTTTTTATTTGAAGACACATGGAGGCAGTTTTTTGTATAAATGACATAGAGCTCTGAGGTCGACCCATCCTAAAATGGGTACCAGGATATTTTCCCTGTCACCCAGTGAATGTTGACTGTGCTATAAAAATATGAGTCTAGCACCATATGCCCCATGCATCAGTGGCATGGAAGGTGTCCTTCACTTGAGTGTGTAGATGATTGTTACACATGTGTCTTCTATGTATGTTTCAGGCACCTCCTATGGCAATGATTCTATGGACGTCATTGAAGGGGTAGGTTTCTCTGTATTATCTGCTGTTGCTGTCTTGTCACTACTGATGGATAATAACGTTTAATAAACTTAGTATTGCACTGGGCGAAACAACTGTTTGTGTGTGTGCGTACATGTGTGTGAGAGAGAGAGAGAGAGAGAGAGAGAGAAGGGTTGTCAGTTTTCATTACATTGTTGTGGGGGTTTTTTCCACAATTTACGTAGATGTTTAAAAGAATTGTTATTTTGTTCTGTTTTCAGATGGACATCAATAATCCAGGGGAAATTGAAAACTTTGGCAATGGTAAGTAGTAGCAGCAATAGAAGTAGTAGTGGTGATGGTAGTAGTGATGGTGGTGGTTTAAGTAGGCAGCAGGTGTGTAGACTAGTAGCAGCAGCAGCCGTAATAGTGGTTGTGGTGATGATGCTGGTGATGGTGGTGGTGGTAGTAGTAGTACTAGTTGCAGCAGCAACAACCCTGACGTTCTCATGTAATTGTACAATAAACAGCAACAACAGTGCATATGTTCTACCATAATTATATAACAAATAGCAAACAACAGTGCTGGTATTCTCACATCATTGTACAACAAACAGCAACAACAACCATGACATTCTCACATCATTTTTCAACAAACAGCAACAACAGTCTGATGTTCTCACATCATTGTACAACAAACAGCAACAACAATCTAATGTTCTCACATCATTGTACAACAAACAGCAACAACAATCTGATGTTCTCACATCATTGAACAACAAACAGCAACAACAATCTGATGTTCTCACATCATTGTACAACAAACAGCAACAACAATCTAATGTTCTCACATCATTGTACAACAAACAGCAACAACAATCTAATGTTCTCACATCATTGTACAACAAACAGCAACAACAATCTAATGTTCTCACGTCATTGTACAACAAACAACAACAACAGCCCTGATGTTCTCACATCATTGTACAACAAACAGCAACAACAATCTGATGTTTTTACATCATTGTACAACAAACAACAACAACAGCCCTGATGTTCTCACATCACTGTACAACAAACAGCAACAACAATCTGATGTTCTCATATCATTGTACAACAAACAGCACCAAAATCCTGATGTTCTCACATCATTGTACAACAAACAGCAACAAAAACCCTGATATCATTTCATGTAAACATTCAAGTACCACAGCAAGAATGAGATAATGTAAATCTCACTGTGAATTTTGTGTATAAATTCCAGCATTAGCTGGAATACTCACAGACCTGCAACATTCTCCATTGGCAGATGAAATCAATGTGGATTTGGCCAACTTTGTACTTGGAGAGATGGATGAGAATGACGAAAATGAGGTAAGAAGCTCACATATATTTTATTTGACCACTTATGACATATGTACAAACAATAATCATCTGGTGCCTGTGCAGAGTAGAGGAATTAAATGGTATTACAAACGTGTGGATGTGCAGTTTTGGAAGAGAAGACTAAACAAAGTGTAGTGAATCAAAAGGTGAGGAAAAGATTGTGGCATAGGAGGAGCAAACAAAGAAAAACAACTTCTTACATTAGAGACCATAGATAGAGGAAATAAAAACTGCGACCACTCCCCGACCAAAACACTGGGAAGAAAGGTGAAACAATGAGGTGACTTAAAATGAGCTGCATGCACTAGCAAAGATTAATATGCTTAATGCACCAGTCGGAGTCAAAGTGGAGAATTTGAAGGCCTATGACTTTCAGTATCTTGTCATTTATCATCTACCTTGCCATCAGTTTATTTTATCTCCTTTTTTTCTGTCTGGTATCCTTTAAACATGCATAAACCTGAAATCATCTGTTGGCAAGCCCTTCTATCATTTGCTTTCTCTTGTAGTTTCTATCTATTTCAAAAATATATCATCTGGTGAATGTAGAGAAAATCTCCCCAAATAGAGCTAACCCTGCCCATTTACGCACGAGGTCACTTTTTATTCACAAGTTTGTTAGACTGATCGACTTGCTCAAGGATCCGGGTGTGTCCCACTCTATTGTTTGCTTTCTGTGTTGTTTACTATTTACATTTTCATTCTGAGAAAGAGAATTCCTGTGACAGTTTGCAGCACTCTCATTGGTGGGAGTTGTGTTAGGGCCAGTGCTCCATGTTTTTGGAGCATTAAAAGCGCAGGTATGATAAAATATGCAACATGCGATATCAACGATATTGCTGAACACCTCTCCCCTCCATCGTAACCTTGTGCGAAGTGACCTAGTGTGCATATAGGCGGGGTCTAACTCTGTCTTTGGATATATTCTTTTATACATATTTTCTCTCTCTCTCTCTCTCTTTCTCTCTCTCTCTCTCTCTCTCTCTCTCTATCTCTCTCTCTCTCTCTCTCTCCATATGGGGATTTCACATGATCATTAAATTAAATAATTCGTGTTGAAGTCTTTTGTACAGATTTTTTTGTCTCCCTTATTTCTTATGGGTCCAGAAGGGACATTTTGCTCACTTTGATACAAAGACACACATGAACAAGGATTCAGTCAATGTACAAAAAACATGAAAGGAAGAAAGTGTTGAAGATTTATTGCAGCCATCACTAAGGCATTGACACCTGACTGACTGACTGCTTGGTTGATTTTGTTTGCCCTGTGGGTTCCAAATGAAAAAGTTGGTGGATATTGTTTACCTTTATAAACAAACACATGTTGAGTACCTTGGTAGTGAATGAGTTTATTGCCCTTCATGCAAGCATTTACAATGTTTCTTCAGTGTTACTTATCGTTAGAGGACAAACACTCTACTCTATGTATTTTACTGTTATCCATGTGTGATTAGCCTTTTGAAATGTTTTATTTATAAGAACATAGGATATATTTTAATTATTTACCTTTGTCTAACATCGAGATTTAAAACAATAGTATGTATTTTTCTCCAGATTTTGTTTCCTGAGAAAGCTTCAGAGCATTCTCTAGAAGAGAAAACTGATGAAATTTCTTCATCCAATCCAGTATTTATTCTGCAGAGGATTTTTAATCAGTAGTTAGGAAAACATCACAGAGGAATTGTATGCACAACTTTCAAATGCATACAAAGATTTGTGTTTTTGTCACTATAAGTTCCTTTCAGTGCACCATGTGTAAGGGGATCTTTAGAGCCGCATGGTTTAGTGCAGTAGATAGGCAGGTTAAGGCCACTTGTGATCCAAACAGGAAAGGGGGTGTAGAGTGTTCACAGCAGGTTAAGGCCACTTGTGATCCAAACAGGAGAGGGGGTGTAGAGTGTTCACATCAGGTTAAGGCCACTTGTGATCCAAACAGGAGAGGGGGTGTAGAGTGTTCACAGCAGGTTAAGGCCACTTGTGATCCAAACAGGAGAGGGGGGTGTAGAGTGTTCACAGCAGGTTAAGGCCACTTGTGATCTAAACAGAAGAGGGGGTGTAGAGTGTTCACAGCAGGTTAAGGCCACTTGTGATCTAAACAGGAGAGGGGGTGTAGAGTGTTCACAGCAGGTTAAGGCCACTTGTGATCCAAACAGGGGGGGGGGGTGTAGAGTGTTCACAGCAGGTTAAGGCCACTTGTGACCCAAACAGGAGAGGGGGTGTAGAGTGTTCACAGCAGGTTAAGGCCACTTGTGACCCAAACAGGAGAGGGGGTGTAGAGTGTTCACATTACCTAAACCCTCAGAGTGTAGCATTACTGTTGACATTTTAGGGGCATCAACATGAATAAAGTAGAAGTAGTTTTCATATAATAAATATCCTGTTCAACCTTATGGTTGTAACTGGGTTATAAAGTTATCATTGTATTTATAATGTATACTTTTACTGTTTCACAATTTATATATCATATACTCATTTCTTTCATTCACTCATGTTGTTGTTTATTATTTGAATTATTATCCTGTTCATACCTTCTGGGTTTTGTTTATAATGGACAGTATACAATGATTATTTTATTATCATATTTATCATCATTTCAGTATCAGCATTTTTTGTTAGCATCCTTTGGATATTTTCTCCAGGTCTTGCCAGTGTGTTGGGAAATGAACAGGCAGATAGACTGACCGGCTCTGCACCACTTGGTGGTGAATTGATGTATGACAAGCTAGATAATGTGAAGGCCCTTTGGGAATGAGTGCAGAGTGCAGATGCGCAGATAGATCTTTACGGTCTGAGGAGAATGGCGCTGCGAGGAGTTACCAGGAGATCTGGCCGACGCTCGACACTTAGGGGGAGGATGAGACACTGATACAATCAGACAGCTACTGGTGCCATCAGAATTGGAACTCTTCACTTGCTGCTGAAGATGGGGACAGAGCACTTATGGGAGCCTCCCGAGTGCTGTGATGTAAATTCTTAATTCAACATTCAGCATTTCTATCATTTATTGCATATAGTCATGGTTTCAGTTCACCAGGTAATGTTCTGATTTCTTGATCACGTCTCCATATTTCCCTGTAACTGGAGATGTATTATTTGATTACATGTATTTGTTGCAGTTTTTCTTGTCTTCTAATTTTTGTAGCAGGACTATTTATTTCTGTCCCAATCCAATTATTGATCCATGTTGAATAAAACTGATAAAATATGTTAAATTGTCTTCAATTTTTTTTTTTTCAATGTCACACACATTGTTTAGTCAGTTTTTGGTAACAAGTGTTATATTTACCTTTTAATTGTCTTAGCTTAAATACTTTTTATCATATTTACAGCTCAGTCAGTTTCAGTTATAATATATTATTTTTTACCACTCAGTCAGTCTTAAAACTCGGTCAGTCTTAGAACTCAACTCGGTCAGTCTTAGAACTTAACTCAGTCTTAGAACTCATTTAGTCTTAAAACTCAACTTAGTCAGTCTTAGAACTTAACTCAGTCAGTCTTAGAACTCAGTCAGTCTGAGAACTCAACTAAGTCTTAGAACTCTGTCAGTCTTAGAACTCACTCAGTCTTAGTTGAAGTATCTTATGTCATTCTTAGACGGTGTTAACTAAAATATCTAATGTCTTCTAAGTTAATTTACTGGTCGGTTTATTGTACACGTTTACTAATGTATTTTCTTCCTATATGAATATGTAGTTCAATTTCAGTTTACCACAACTGCTGGATATGTTTGCTGTAATCTACCTCTTCTCAAAGTAAACTTCAGCTGCTAAATTGAACCAATCATGAACAAGATCTCAAGTTCCTTGTCAAGTTTCATGAGGGCTTATGCTTTGTTGGGATATAAAAGGCAGAAAAAGAACAATGTTGTAATATAAATTCCCCCCCCCCCCCCCCCCCCCCCCAAAAAAAACATTGGTACTTCTCTCTTTCTCTCGTTGTACCCAACCAGGAAATCACACAAGCAAGTAAACACCTGTTGACACAAAGTGCCACCATGCGGATGAGGATTAATCATGGAGAGGTCTCAGAAACCCCTTTAAGCCGCTTGGCCATATTTATGGCCATACTTATTTAGGGCCCCCGGCAAAAGCCTGTGGGGCTTCAAATAATGAAAAGTTGCATCCCCCATGGGGACGACCACTTCAGTAACCCGGAAAAGACTGCAGGTTACACATGGCTACTGCTATCATTGCTGGTGCTCTTATTAAAACTTCTTTAAAGGTGGAACTATTATAAATAATTGACAGACAGACAGATAATGTATTGATCGGTACTCACAGAAAGAAGTAGAAAGATAGAAGGACTAGATAACATTAAAATCGACAGATGTCGTTATCTATGAGAGCCGAAAAATCGATTGTCTGTTTCTTTATTATATATAATTTCTCTACAGCCTCAAGGGTCTCCCCTCTGTTTGTTTATGTGTTGTAGATGAAAGAACTGCCTTGTTACTCTGCAATCAATATTGGCATTTTTTAAATATCAGAATATGGTAAAAATTTGGGTAGCAGCCTGAGAGAACAAACTGATCGCTCGATCCATGTTGTAATTTAACACAATATGGTGTTGTTTTCTGTTAATTTTTACAGCAGATGTCAACATCAGGAATTATCTTTTAAAAATCTCGGATTTCTAGCAACTCGGACACACTTTGTACTCAAGATTTTGTAATTTGTATGGTTTAGGGTATTACAACTTTGACAGGCCGAACAGTCATGTGTGTTTTTTTTTTTTATGTGATAACCCGGTCAACCAAAGCAAATCTCATAAGTACGATTTGTTGGCTGACATTGTGCTACAAGTGCCAAACATGGACCCTTACTACAACTAATGAGCAGAAGATTGTAACAACAAAGATGAGATGTCTTAGGAGAGCTGCCTGTGTGACAAGACAAGATAAAATCAGGAATGAAGAAATTAGAAGACTAGGTCTGAAACCAGTCATACTATTCTTTAAAGAACAACAAATGAGATTGTTTGGTCACCTGACGAGAATGCTCTGGTGCCAACTGCCAAAGAGAGCCATGCTGAAGAAATATAATGAACACAGAGCAAGGGGAAGACCATGTCAGAGATGGAGCGACATCATCAGGGACAACCTAACAGAAATGAACACCAGCTTGCACAATGCATTGGAAAAAGGGCACAACTTACATCTCTACCCTCGGCCCTTTTTTTTTCCCCGCTGAGGGTAAATGGTGGAAGAGAAGAAGATCACTGAATGTTACGCTTTGTGTTTTGCTTGCTTGTAACATGGTCACTGAGTCTTACATTTCACATAACATGGCTTTATTGTAACATGATCATTTACTGTTAGGTTTCATGTAATGTAGCTTTCTTGTTACATAATCATTGAATGTTAGGTTTCATGTAATGTAGCTTTCTTGTAATGTGGTCACCTTGTTTGATGAATTATGTCATTACTGTTACTTATTTGTGCTTGTAACACACAGAATGGTGATGTTCTGAAGTGAAATCGTCTAATGCTATGTATGTTTCATGTAATGTAGCTTTATTTTAGGACATAAATACCACACATAACCAGGTTTTGTAAATACGTATGTAATTTTTGGGCACCATTTTCAGCAGGCTGGTGATGTTCTTGCTGTAGGGTCCTCTCTAGTCCCCTTTAAACAGGCATCGCTCTGTCTTACCACAATGATTGAAATGTATGATATGTGTGTAACAGGAATCACTCTGTCTTACCACAATGATTGAAATGTATGATATGTGTGTAACAGGAATCAGTCTGTCTTACCATAATGATTGAAATGTATGATATGTGTGTAACAGGCATCAGTCTGTCTTACCATAATGATTGAAATGTATGTGTGTAACAGGCATCGCTCTGTCTTATCGCAATGATTGAAATGTATGATATGTGTGTAACAGGCATCACTCTGTCTTACCACAATGATTGAAATGTATGATATGTGTGTAACAGGCATCGCTCTGTCCTACTGCAATGATTGAAATGTATGTGTGTAACAGGCATCGCTCTGTCTTACCACAATGATTGAAATGTATGTGTGTAACAGGCATCGCACTGTCTTACTGCAAGGATTGAAATGTATGATATGTGTGTATCAGGCATCACTCTGTCTTACCGCAATGATTGACATGTATGATATATGTGTAACAGGCATCAGTCTGTCTTACCACAATGATTGAAATGTATGATATGTGTGTAACAGGCATCGCTCTGTCCTACCGCAATGATTGAAATGTATGTGTGTAACAGGCATCGCTCTGTCTTACCACAACGATTGAAATGTATGATATGTGTGTAACAGGCATGACTCTTGTCTTACCACAATGATTGAAATGTATGATATGTGTGTAACAGGCATCACTCTTGTCTTACCACAATGATTGAAATGTATGATATGTGTGTAACAGGAATCAGTCTGTCTTACCATAATGATTGAAATGTATGATATGTGTGTAACAGGCATCAGTCTGTCTTACCATAATGATTGAAATGTATGATATGTGTGTAACAGGCATCGCTCTGTCTTACCGCAATGATTGAAATGTATGATATGTGTGTAACAGGCATGACTCTTGTCTTACCACAATGATTGAAATGTATGATATGTGTGTAACAGGCATCACTCTGTCTTACCACAATGATTGAAATGTATGATATGTGTGTAACA